GAGGAGGGCAACGGAGATGGCGAGGGGTCTGGGAACCAAGTCCTCTGAGGAAAGGCTGAAGGAGCTGGGTCTGTTTAGCCTGGAGAGGAGACGACTGAGAGGGGATATATGAGAACCACCTTCAAGGACTTGGAAGGGCTGTCCTTTGGAGGATGGTGCGGAGTTGTTTCCTGTTGCCCCAGAAGGTCGGACCAGAACCAACGGGTTGAAATGAAATCAGAAGAGCTTTCGGCTAAACATGAGGAAGAACTTCCTGAGGGTTAGAGGGGTTCCTCAGTGGAACAGGCTTCCTCGGGAGGAGGTGGGGGGCTCTCCTGCTTGGGAGGTTTTCAAACAGAGGCTAGGTGGCCATCCGACAGCAATGCGGATCCTGTGAACTTAGGCAGGTCGTGAAAGGGAGGGCAGGAAGGGTCAGGAAGCCAGTTTTCTCCAGGCCAGTTTGGCCCCGGGGATCCTGGAGGTTTTCTGCCCTCTTCTGGGCATGGAGCAGGGGTCACTGCGTGTGTGTGTGTGGGGGGGGGAAGTATTTGTGAATTCCCTGCATTGTGCTAGATGACGCTGGAGGTCCCTTCCAACTCTACGATTCCATCATTTGGAGGTCAGTGTCATCTCCTTAGACAGGCAGTGGCTCTCCAGGGTCTCAGGCAGAGGTCCTTCCCATCACCTCCTGCCAAATCCCTTACCTGGAGATGCCGGGGATTGAACCAGGGACCTTCTGTATGCAAAGCAGAGGCTCTTCCACTGAGCCACGGCCCCCCTGCAGACATTCAGACACCTCCACCCTCGCCCAGTGTTTTCTAAACACATCAGGCACTCCGGGACACTAGAAGGGGAGTGTGCAGCTGGGAAAGGATGATAAATTAAGACTAATGGCTCACGACAGAGGCAGGGGCCTCACGGTGCTTTCCCTTCCCCACTCAGATGCATGAGCCCCACGCTGGAACGGACACACAGCGGGGAGGCCCAGCGTCTGAAATTAAGTGCGCGCACGCAGACAACCCCCAACCGCCACCCGCGGCTCTTTGGAAATCGCACCAGCAATTAAGGTGCTGACGGAGGGATACTTCCTCAGGTACAAGGAAAGCTTGGGGCACTCAGAGGACGAGGCGCCCCTGCTGCAGAAGGCCGACTGTGAAGGAAAACTGCAGGGAGTTCGGGGGAAGCAAATTGTGGGTTTACTGCGCAAGGAAGTTCTGCGGCAACAGAGCAGAGTTGGGGGGGGGGGACAGTTGTCTTCTCCACCGGGGGCCGCCTTGGCTTTATCTGGTCTTTTTTCTGGACCGGTTCAGCCAGCTCTCGGTGTTGGATGTGGCCGAATGCTGCGAGCTCTTTGGATCCCGGCCCCTCTGGGCTCATTAAATCTGGCCGGGAGGTGACAGGAGACCCCCTCGAGAGAGATTATTAATTTCTCTCTCTCTCTGTCTCAGGGTCGCTTCCCTAGTTCCTTAAAGGAGGCTATAATTAGGCCATTGCTAAAAAGCCTTCCTTAGAGGAAAGGGAACTAGCCGATTACCGCCCCAGTGTCAAATTCACCCTTCCTGGGAAAGGTGACGGAGAGAGAGGAGTCTCTGAACAGCTTCGGGTCTCTTTGGACGAGACTTCTGCACTCAATCCACTCCCGTCCAGCTTCAGGCCTGGTTTCGGGACAGAGGCCGCCCTTGTAGTTCTTCTGGACGACCTCAGTTTGTAGCTGGATCAAGGCTAGAGATGTAAAATTTCCGGAATTTTTGAAGCTCGGAAAAAACCCAGTTATTTTCCGGGGGAAAACGGACATTTTCGGAAAAATTGAAAAAAATGCTACATTAGCATTTCTTTTGTCTTTTCTAGATTAAGTCATTATTTGGAACATATTTGAACACCTTGTCTTAAAGTATTTTATTCATCATGTTAAAATAAAACGTTCCATAATCAATTTTTTTTCTTTTCTTTTCTTTTTCAATTTTTCCAGGCTTCAGGAAAAAAACGGAAAAAAACCGTTTCCCCCCCGAATTTTTCTGGTTTTTTTCCGGGACTTCACATCTCTAATCAAGGCAGCTCAGCGCTTCTGATCCTGTTGGATCTCTCCGCAGCGTTTGATACGGCAGAGGACTCGATTTCGGTCCACCGTCTGGCCTCTCTTGGGATCCGTGGCACAGCCTTATCTTGGTTTGCCTCATTTCTCCGGAGACTCAGTCAGAGGGTGTTCTCTGGGGCCCTGGGGTACCCTTGGTCTATGCGGTACCCCAGGGCCTGGGCCTGGCTCTGATGCTGCTGAACACTATTTAACAATGCTGATTCTGTGAACTTCGGCAGATCACGGGAAAGGAGGGCGGGGAGGGTTGCCTCAGTGCTTAGTCCTCGTGGCCCTTTCTTGCACGCCCACTTTTGGGTCAGGAAGCCATTTTTCGCCAGGCCAGTTTGGCCGGGGATCCTGGAGGTTTTTTGGCCATCTTCTGGGCATGAAGCAGGGGTCCCTGGGGGTGTGGAGTAAAAAGGTAAAGGTTTCCCTTGCTCGAAAGCCAGTCGAGTCCGACTCTAGGGTTGCAGTGCTCATCTCCGTTTCCAAGCCGAAGAGCCAGCGCTGTCCAAAGACGTTTCCGTGGTCATGTGGCCGGCGTGACTAAACACCAAGGCGCACGGAACGCTGTGGAGGGGGGGGAGGTATCCTGCCTTGTGCAAGGGGGGTTGGACTAGATGAAGATGACCCTGGAGGTCCCTTCCAACTCTGTGATTCTGTGATTCTATCCAGTGGGGCTCGTCAGGAGGTTTTGGGGCTGGTGGCCACCAGTATGGTGACGGCACCCAGCTCTTCCTCCTGTTGGAGAAACAACCGGAAGAGGTGCTCTCTCCTATGACCCAGCGCCAGGATACCATGATTGAGTGGCCGAGGCGGAGCCGGGTAAAACTTAATCCATCCAAGACTGAAGCCAGCGGGGGCACTGCAGCCTCCAAGCTCTGGATGGAGTCCAGCTCTCACTGGCGGACCCCGTGAACAGCCTGGGGGTCTGGCTGGATGCCTCTCTTACCTTGGAGAACCCGGTGACCCCAGTTGCGGGGCAGGCTTCCCCCTACCTCCCCCAGGCCCGTCTGCTGGCCCCCCGTCTGTCCCAGTGATTCATGCCACAGTCACCTCCAGAATGGACTACTGCAATTTGCTCTTTGCTGGCCTGCCCTTGAAGGCGCCTCAGAGACTTCATGCTGTCCAAAACGCAGCTGCCGGGCTTCCCACTCGAACGTCTTGGTCTTCGCCTACGCAGCCTGTCTTGAAGCAGCTGCACTGGCTGCTGGTTTTGACCTTTAAAGCCCTAAATGGTCTGGGACCGTAATACCTGAGGGACCGCCTCTCCCTTTAGAACCCCCTTCGGCAGCCGCGCTTGTCATCTTCCGCCCGACGGGTGGCATGTCTGGCGTCCAGCAGGGCGAGGGCTTTTTCCCAGTTTAGCCCTGTCCCGGTGGAAAGCCCTCTCAGACGAGACCTAGGCCCCGTGGGGCCTCCCTAGGTCCCGCAGGGCCTATACGGCTGACCTTTTCTGTCAGGCCTTCCCCGGTGAAGTGCATTTTTGCGGCTCGATGCTGGATCTACCACTATCAGTTGTAAACGGTTCGCTTTTCAGACTCTGCGTTTTACACTGTTTTACTATATTTATCACCTCTGCTTTTATACGACTGTGAACTGCTCGGAGCGGCGCTTTTGGGGGAGGGGCGGTATATAAATTAAAACAATTAATGAATAAATGAACGGTGGCACACTAGGCTGGGGCAGACATAAGGCTGACTCTGTGCAAACGATGGCTGGCCAGCTAGAAGCCACTGTTGGCATGGATGTCCCCCTCCCCCTTCTTCCGACAGTGACTTTCACAGAATCATAGAGCTGGAAGGGTCTCTAGAGGGCATCTAGTCCAACCCCCCTGCTCAGTGCAGGATCAGCCGAGAGCCTCCCTGACAAGGGTTTGTGAAGCTGCTGCTTAAAGACTGCCCAGGGAGGGGGAGCTTGCCACCTCCCGAGGCAGCAAATTCCACCGCCGAGCTCCTCTTACTGTAAAAAAAATCCCCCCCCCCCGATATCCCAGCTGGTACCTTTTAAAAAGGGCAGAAAATGGCAACTCGGATGATAAAAGGGTTGGGACACTTTCCCTGTGAGGAAAGGTTAAGGCGCTTGGGGCTCTTTAGCTTGGAGAAACGACGACTGAGGGGTGACATGATTGAGGTTTGTAAGATTATGCATGGGAAAGAGCAGGTAGAGAAAGAGGTACTTTTCTCCCTTTCTCACAATACAAGAACTCCTTTTGGGCACTCCACGAAATTGCTGAGCGGTCGGGTTAGAACGGATAAAAGGAAGTCCTTCTTCACCCAAAGAGTGATTCACACATGGAATTCACTGCCACAGGAAGTGGTGGCGGCTACAAGCATGGACGGCTTCAAAAGGGAATTAGATAAGCATATGGAGCAGAGGTCCATCAGTGGCTATTAGCCACAAGGTATAGATAGGGGCTCTGGGGCAAGTGATGCTCTGTCATCTTGGTGCTTGGGGGGGTCAACAGTGGGAGGGCTCCTAGTGTCCTGGCCCCACTGGTGGACCTCCTGATGGCCCCTGGTATTTTGGGCCACTGTGTGACACAGAGTGTTGGACTGGATGGGCCTTTGGCCTGATCCAGCATTGGCGTCTCTTATGTTCTTATGTTCTTTCCACCTGTAATTTAAACCCATTATTTTGAGTCCTCTCCTCTGCTGCCAACAGGAACGGCTCCCGGCCCTCCTCCGATCCGCAGCCTTCCAAACACTTCCACAGAGCCATCCTTTCCTCTCTCGGCTGCCTCTTCTCCAGACTGAACATTCCCGAGTCCCTTGGCCTCTCATTCCCACTCAACCATGCATCGCCAGTGCAAGCCAGGGTTAACATTAATCCTGGTTCTCTCACAAACCAGAAATGGGAGACCGTGGTTTGAAATGGGTTGAAGAGCCACCATTACCGAGAAGGGTAACTTCCGACACGGCGTCAAATGATGTGGAATTCACAATCACGGCTAATCCTGGTAAGGGAGGGGGACTTTTTCCCAAGAGGGAAGGAAGGAACATACATTCTCAG